CGCGTTTCTTGCGTTTTTGCTAAATTTGTGTTAATTGAAGAATTAAACACACACATAAGTATGTATGTATAAGCGAAAATCGATTCGTGAGAATAACATTCAATATGACATCTTTTAATTCTCTTGAAATAAATTTATTTTATTTGATTTTTATATAGACGTGTTAAGATAGTTCATATATATGTATATATTTATATCTGTATGTGTGTGTAAGCTTTAAGCTTGAAAATCCCAGTTTCCGCTGTTTATTCACTTGCTTTGCCCAATCTTAGAAAAACGTTTCCCAAATCACCGTTTTGATTTTCTTCTTTCAAAAAGAATTTTGAATCTCTCGCTTTGTCGGCGATGCACGTTTACCAACTGTTAAACAGGATCATATAATTTTTGTGTTTTCTTTTAGTTTTTATCTTCACCGCCTTCTTCACTATGTCTAGAAACTGTCTATAAAAGTGATTTCTCGTTTAAAACTCTGAGTCGCACATTCCTATCGAAAAATGTTGCTTACACGTCTCATCGTCTCTTCTCATCTCATCCCACTCTGCCTATTCCTACACACTAAAACACTAAGCTCGTAACCAAAAAAAAAAAAAAATACATGATCTCAATTGTTGTATATGTAGATAGAATATAAAAGTTCTCTTTTAACTGCATGAGCTTCACGTTGTATATTGTAAATGTGGGTTTGTACTCTGTTCCCAGAGAGGAAAACTTTCGAATATTGGCGCCTGACGACGCTACTGCTTCTATATGTTCAGTTAAGGTACAAGTATTACAATTTTCGATTCTGAAGAGAAAATATCATGGACTTTCGGTGCAGCTACATGCTATATATAGAAATCGGTATAGATTTAGATTTGGCAACGTCCATCCAGATGCCGGGAACAGAGTGTCTGGCAGTCGGTAGCTACCGACTTCTTATTTACTTTTTGTGTCTCTTTTACAATCAATTATCGTTCTCACTTCTTGTGTTACAATTGCTCTGTTTTTTAAGATATTAAAAAAATTATATATACATATATATATAAATATATATATATATATATAAATATATATATATATATATATATATATATATATATATATATATATATATATATATATATATATATATATAGATCTGTGTTGCATGTACATAAATCAAAGAGCTTTTTGTTTTTGAATTTGTTGCCACACTTAGGACATGGAGCTGCAGGGCAATCGAGGCGATCCCATTTGGGTGAGTACACGATCAAGCCATTGAAGTGGTCCATTCAAATGGAGCTCGATCCAGCAGGGCGTGGAAGTGACCGTCTGCCGGCGATATTCGGCACCCCAGCCCTTGACGAAGGACATGCGAATGGTGCACATGCGCGTTAGCTGATAAACGGCCTCGAATCCCTGCGAGACTGACTGGGATAGCAAGGCGGCAAACTCTTGATTATTGAAGATCTTTAGATTGCAGCCGGGCGGTATTTTGCAGACAGTTGCCGGATGCCAGCCGTAACGCTGATTACAATTGGGACTCTGAACGAATATTGATGAATCGCTCAGGCATTCGGCAAAGACCTCGCCGCCAATGTAATAGAGGCGAACGCCTTTGCCAATATGGCGACGCGTTTGCTCAACGACCTCGTTGCGATTCACGTTCGAGAGTAGGCCCAAACAGAAGCGCTCCGAATTGGATGGATCGGTGAAGCCGTCGACCGTTATTGATGGCTGTGAGGCGTGAAAGGTTTCGCCCACTCGGGTATTTAGCTCATAGTAGGATATGGAGCACCAGAAGGCCGGCTCATGGTACATCACTGGTGCAGCATCGGCGGGCGGTGTTAGCCGCGACATATTCATATTATCATTGGGATCAATTGGATCGCCATCCTCGCTCATATAGCCCGGCGGCGGGGTGCCCGTATTGGGTATGCTGCTGCCCACACTGAGGACGCTGGATTGCGAGTCCATGTTGCAGCTGCCTGGCGGCAAGTTCTGGCCGACTCCTACCACGCTGCCAAAGGATAGTGGCGAGTGTTGCTGTTGCAGTTGCTGATGCTGCTGTTGCTGCTGCTGCTGTTGCTGATAGCCACCGGCACCCGTTGCCGTTGAGTTGATAGTGGTGTTGCTGCTGCTGTTGCTGCTGCTGCCACCCAATTCCATATACTGTGGCGGACTGAGCGAGGCGCTGCGTATTATTGCAGCATTGTACTCCGTATTATTTGGTATCTGATGTGTGTGATTGTCCAATGGGTAGTCGACTATGGAGTCGGGGGGCGTTGGCAGCGACTTGGGCACCAATATCGACAGCTCGATCTTCTTGTAGTGATACGGATTGATGCAGATATCGTCCTTTCGCAAATGGAACGCGTATTCGCAGTGCTCGAGCGGCTTTAGTTCATTCTGCGACTGGAGATCGGGCCAGCGCCACAATCGGCAATAGATGACGTGCGGTAAACCCTTGCGTAGGCTCTCGCCAGTGGCAGCGGGTTTGCTGCGCGGCACAGTCACACACCGGGTGTTGCAATTCTGCGTGGATATGGCGCGCTCTAGTTCCTCAATTTGCGAATTCTTTTTGATCTTTTTCACCAGGTTCCGGACGGCCTTCTCCGACCACTTGCCCTCGACACTATTGTCCTCGTTGCCCTTTTTGAGTGCTAACAAACGTTTAACCACTTGCGGAGTGAATGACAACATCTCACGAGCAGTGGACACTCAACCGCGCCCCCCTCCCCCTTACAGGCGTACAACACACAAAGCCGGCTTAACGCTGAATAAGCGCACCTGCCACCACGCCTCCTCGGTTCCAGAAGCTACTTTTTAGCTTTTATATTTCAGTGCTTTTTCCGTCTGGTCCTTCTATTTCGCTGCACTGTTTACAGTTTACAGTTGCAATTGATACGTCCAGCAATTATCGTTTGTCAACACTGGTAATTTGCTGATGTCTGACGTTTTGTTTTGCTGTTCTCGATTCTTTGCAGCGTCACTTTATTGTTGTTGTTATGCTTGTTGTTGTTGTTGTTGTTTCTTGTCAGCGTTTCTAAAAAAAAATGTTTATAACAGTTAGTTTTCTTTCTATCTCTCTCTCACTTTGGATCTATGCGTATGTATGTATGTATGTGTGCGAGTTTGCGTGCTGCTAAAATAATTAAAAGTTGATAATTTGCATGCATCTGTGTGTGTGTGTGTGTGATTTCGTCTACTATGACTTCCCCACAATAAGCTTGATAAAAAGAAAAAAAATCATGAGCCCATATGATGATGTTTGTGATAATTACGCATCTGTTCGAGTATGTGTAAAAGTCTGAGCTATTGCTATAGCTGTTACTATATACGTACATACAAATATATACTCGCAATATATACACACGCAAGGGGTATACTCGTGTATAATCAATCCGACAATTCCTGTTTGTTCTTTATCAATAATAACTAGAGCAGCTGACGACGATGTACATAGCTGCGCGAGATAGTTGCCTGCCTAAGGTGTGAGTAAAGCTCTGTGCAAAGCATTTCATGGGGGCGTTTTATGCCAAGGTCACTTGTCTGCAAAGGCAGACGCAGCTATATGCAAATACATACACACGTATGTATGTAGGTAGCTCCAAGCCAGACATAAAGCACAGAATCCCGATGACAAACACTATTCAATTTTATCTATAGGATAATTATAACACTAAATCAATACACATATACACATACACACACTCAAACACACATTAACAAATGATTTGCAGACTTTTCCTCTTGATATTTCAAATTCCGTTAATTAGTGCTGCGGGGGCATGTGAATGAATAGACTTGTTACTAGAAAAAAGAAAGGTGCGTACACGCAGCGAAAATAACTGCTGCTTGGCCATACATTAAACGGTAGTTTTTTTTGCCAATAAAGAGATGCAGAGCTTATTATTTAGGTGTGCCTAGCTACTGGCATCTGGAATATATTGGCAGCAGCTCATTAGCTGAAAATGACAGACATGAAATGAAGTTGAAAAAGAAGCAGTACACACAGACACTCGCACACACACAAGCACAGACACACATATAGAAGCAAATGCATGCAAAAAGTGTAACTACGGATTGTATGTATGTATGCATGTAGAGACGAACATTACCTGTACAACAACTTCCACATGTAAACAGCGGCACGACGGCAAAGTTGACACCGGCACCTGCATTAAATGCCTGGAGCTGAATGTGGATGATAAATCTTGTAGATGGAGCAGCAGAACTAAAGAAGAAATGCAAACACAGCAACGCGCACTTCCACTTCTACTTTTATTATTTTTGATTGTATATTGCTTTTTTTATATGTTGTATATGTATGAAATTGCAACCGTGTTGTGCTGTGCTGTTGGCGGGTCTAAGGACGGGTAACTGACCAACGTTGGTGGCACGATTGCACCGGAACCGGGCGCGTACGTCAAGTCTTGTCTTTGGCTGGATTATGGGGGAGGGGTGGTCGCTGATTTCAATTTGTGTATGTCTTATGCGCGCGCAAGAAAGTGACAGCTAGACACAGATACACATACACATGCAACACAGACACACACTCATATACAGTTTTATATACAGCGAATGTTCCTGCTGCTGCTGACCTTTCGCACTGTATGATTACTTTTCTAGCGCCCTTTCCACTTTCACAGCTGTTTAATCACAATTTATGCCAACGGTTTGTTTATCGACTTTATTTTATTGGCTTGTGCGTTTTAATTGAATGATTTTAATGCGTCTGAGGCCTGAGATCTATGCCGAAAAAGCACACCGTTCGTTGTGTCTACTGTTTTGTATTTCCACATACATATACGCAGTTCTTATTCGCATTCTCCTCTGCTACTTGTGCTTCTTTCCTCTGTGCCTATGTCTACTGCTGTGTACATGTGTGTGTGCGTGAATGTGTATGTTCTTTTGTCTGAAATTATGTATTCAGCGAGAGCGATGTATTTTTGCTTATCGATAGATACCAAATATATCGATTAGGCAAATATTTGTAAATCAACAATTGTGCGATCTTGAAGAGATTTCATCGCGGGGAATATATTAATAACTTTTAATGTCAACTTGTACATATAGGCATTAAGTAGGTATAGATATTTCTAGGACTATGTACGCGATATGCGCAGGGATTTCTGCAGAGCCGCTTTCACAATTTCATCGGGCGATGGAGTATCAAAGCGAAACCGTTTAATATTCGCGCCATAATCCTCCCGTTTGCACAACTTTAGATTTTGCAATTCAGATGGGGATGCCGCATACTTAAGCTGTGGCTTTCGTGGTCTGGGATAGCCTACTGTTGCATCCATCATACTCCCAACAGCACTGGATTTCTCCATATTTCTCGAAGGGAATGGGTCCGCATCGCCTGACATACGTATCAGGTTTTTCTCATACAACAAGCCAATAGGGGGACGATCGCAGCTGATAAATGGAATATCAAAGTGCTCCACAACGGAAGATGCCTGCTTATGGCGCAACTTGGTTGCCGCCTCGCGGGGTGCGGCATCTTTGTGTCTGGCAATTAGAGTTGAGGTTAGATCAATTGTTTTCACTGCTTGTGAACGTTCTGGATTTTCCTTTGTGGTCTTCAGCTTGGTAATTTCACCAGCTTCGTCAGCGGTGATATTCAGACTGATCACTCCCTTTATCACTGGAGTCAGGTCCAATGAATTGCTCTGTTTTAGCAGCTTGTTTAACGGTATCTGAAGGTGAGTATCTTCGAGAGTCTCGCCCGAGGCTGTTAATAGATTGGGTATGATCAATTGACGCATGGTGATGTTTTCAGTGGATCCTGGTTGATCTCTAGCTTCACTCTGCTTAACTCTAATTGCATTAAGGAGTTGCTCGTTGTGGGCTGCCGCAGCGCGATTGTGTTCCAACTGTTCGGCACTGGCTGGCTGGTTTGTGTTTCTCGGAGGTAAAAGTTGTGGTATAACAAATTTTGTCCCAATCGAAATGTGCGATTTTGGTGGCTCACTAGCATTTTGGCTACCCAGCGTCTGATGAATGGATTGCTGCAGTGATTGTGTATTCTCCTTGTCCAGTTCAAGATCACCGTTAGCCATAATCTACAATGGGGATGTTACAAAAAAATTTATTTTTTATACTCAAGAAACAAAACAATAAAAATAAAAACCTTAGTTTCGATATTTCTTTTGTTTATGTTTTTATTTGATAGCTATTTCGATTGCCCGATGACTGTAATATTACTTTTCCACGTTTATCGGTGTTGCAAAACAGTGTTGATTTATTGAGAGCAGGTTTGAAAGGCGGCGACATTTAACTGTTAAAATATGTGTATTTGGAAAATTATGATTGAAATAGCAAATGCAAGCCTAGACGTGATCCAATCGGCAAATAGGGCCGTCTTCAACCATTTTTAGATCGACTCTCGGTCCCACCAGGTCCCGAATATTGTTAATGCCGTACTTGATCATCGTGGGCCTTTCCAACGACAGGCCCCAGGCAATAACATTGACGTTCTCTGGCAGCCCCATGGGTCGGAGCAATTCCGGGCGGAAAAGGCCTGAATTGCCCACTTCAATCCATTTGGCCAGACCCGGATGATAGCAGAATATCTCCATGCTGGGCTCCGTATATGGATTATATGCCGGTTTGAACTCCAGCTGAGTAATACCCAATTTTCGGAAGAATTCATAAAGCGTGCCAATCAGATCTCCCAGTGTTAAACCCACATCTGCAATAACGCCTTCCACCTGATGAAATTCCGCTAAATGGGTAGCATCCAGCGTCTCATTCCGGAACACCTTGTCTATGCTAAAGTACTTGGCTGGCTTAAAGCCACCCTCCTGGTTTGCGAGCTTGAAGAGCATTCGTGCGCTCACGGCTGTTGTATGGGTACGCAGCAGATTCTTTTGCGCATCCGACAGCTTCCAGTCGTAGCCGTATCCGAGCGACCCGTAGCCACCCTTTGAGTGTACGGCCTTGACCCGCTGGAGGTATTCCTGGGGAAACTTATGACTCTGCGCCGGGTGGATGATGAAGAACGTATCGTGGGCATCGCGTGCTGGATGCTGTTGCGGCTGGAATAGTGCATCGAAGTTCCAGAAAGATGACTCCACGTAGTTGTTGGTGGGCATTTCTGAGAATCCCATCTCAAGGAAAATTTGGCGAAACTCAGTGCGCACCTTGAGTAGCGGGTGCAGATGACCACGCGTCGGTGCTGCGCCCAACGCATCAAAGTTATATGACTTGAATTTCAACTGCTCCCACAAACCACTGGTTAGCATATCCATGGTAAGATCCGTTTCCAACTTAGTAAGTGTTGTGGCAAACTCTGGACCCTTACTCAAAATAAAACTCTTTATAGTAGTCTCCTGCAGCAGTTTCCGTTTCTTGTAGTCGGCTACATCTTTAGCAGTCAACTGCGATTTGCCACTGGCCACCAACACCAGCTGATCTTTCACATTGTCGACAATTTTGTCCACCTTTCGTCTAACCAGCGGTGGGTTCACACTCTTATCTAAGAGTATCCAGCCCTGGGACATGGCTTTGCTGAAGCCTACTTTAGCATTGGGTCCTCCGGCAACCATCAGAGCTGCTTGAGCTATACCCTCCGGGGGAACCAAAGAATAGACGATAGCCTCATGGCTGCCCTTTTCGACCACGGACTGGCCTTCGTCGGTTAGTTCCAAGTGTTTCTGTGTGGCTGTCTCAGCGATGACTAGATCGCCATGTGCCTGTATGCTCTTTAAGGCGCCGACAACTTTCTGATGGTCAACACTGAATTGCGTGGCAAGTTCTAGAGTATTCACTTTGTCGACTGTCTCCAAATGCTGTAGGATGCGCTCGGTGAGATCGGGATGCATGTTGTCAGCCGTATCTGCGTTTGCTAATCACCTAATTCAATTTAATACAACGGTAACTGAAGACGTATACGAATTTGCAAACGCAATCTTACAATTACAAATCGCGTGTTGCAGTAGTGAAATATCGATAAGCCATTGCAAATTTCACTGCGATGTATTGCACGAAGAGTGTTGGAAACTACTAATGGATCTCTAGTGTTTGTTTTTTTTTATCGTAATTGGAAAATGGTCGAAGTTGTAAACATAAGCATAAACACAAAATGCGCCGAAATTCATTGCGACACTTCCGTAGAAGCAAACTTTCTGATAAAATGTATTTGCGGCAGCACTTTTTTGGACTACGTCGTATTCCAGCAGCACTTTATTAGTGACCACTTTCAGCCAGAGCTTCACAACGTAAAGGAAGAGAACACTGGGGCACCTATTAGCTGTTTGAATGAACCTGTTGTTGAGCTACCATCGTTGTCGGAGCTGCCAACGGTCGTAGAAACAGGATATGATGCTTTTACGTTTGTCGAGTCCAAGTGGAACAATGAATCATCGCCGAAGCAACCTGATAAGCGACGCAATGGACCAAATTCGTGCGCTTATTGTGGGCGGACATTTCGACGACGCTTTTTGCTGGACACCCATCTGAATATCCACACCGGCAGCAAGCCCCATCAGTGCGACATGTGTGGCAAGCAGTTCCGAGCCGTCTCAACGCTAACACGTCACTTGCGCACGCATGAAGATCGCAAGGAACTCCAGTGCCAGCATTGCGAGAAGCTATTTACCCATCGCAGTGCTCTGCTCAGCCACGAGCTGCGGCACACTCAATTGCGTTGTTGGGCTTGCAATAGCTGCGACAAGAGCTTCTACACCCGCAATCAAATGGACACCCATAAACGCAAGATGCATGCGACTGGCACTACACACAAAAGCCAGGATCAGGCAGACAACGCCGAACTATGCACATCCCTATTGCCGTTTACTTGTGAGCTGTGCGGCAACAGTTATCGAAGTGCCTCCACGCTAAGCACCCACAAACTAAAGAAACACTATCGCTTGGCCAAATACAGCTGTGATCTGTGCGACAAAAAGTTTGTGGACTTTAAGCACTTGCAACAGCATCAGTTTATTCATGTGAAGCCCGAAGCTACAATAAACAGTTAATATAGTATCAGATCTATTTATCTGCATCTGTGTTTGTATATGTATCTATATCTTACTAATCAAATAGCCATAGTAGCCAGGAGCTGATCCATCCAATTCCAAGCAAGGTAAAATATACTAATTAACGTATATTTAGGTATGTATTTATCGTTATATATATATATAGGACACTATGTAGAATTGCATAGCACCAGCCAATTGAGTGAATAAGCAAGACCTGATGCATCCTTGCAAAATACAGTGCTGTAAAATGCCAAAGCAAAACAGCTGTTGGGCCTGTCAGTCAGAATTAAAACGACAACACGATTTGTTTGCGTTGCTTGTTGCAGTCTAATCAGAACTAGAAAATAACATACAAATGCTTTTTAGTTAGCGGAAGCGGATCGAATAAGAAATTGAATATGCTGAAGGCACTCAAGCCGGACACATTTGCTGGCATTGCCAATGCCAAATGTGGGGAGGTGTATTTCCAAAGTCTAAACAGCTATCGCATTGACTGCGCCTTCTGCCACATGAAGAGCTTTGTGTTCGCCGATTTTTTGCTGCACATTCAGAACGAGCACTTTGAGGACGGGCTGCTCAAAGCGGAGGTGATGCTGCCAAAACAGGAGGACATGGACAGCAGCACCTCGGCAACTCAAACGAATTTGTTTTCTTGGTATGAAGTGACGTCCAATGAATACGACTTGGCTGCCAACAGCGGGACTGAGTTTCTGAGTGAGACTAAGCAGCTGGTGGACGACGACGATGATGATGAGGAGGATGAATTGGAGGATCCCGTTGGAATCATGAAATGGGACGTGTCGACGGAGCGCCTCTACAATGATCACATAGGATCAGATGCTGACAATTCAGATGCCATAGGCCATGAGCAGGAGCCACCACTCACGGCCACAAAGGAGATGCTGACCTGCATACACTGCAACAAAACGTATCGAAGCAAGAAGTCGCTGCAGCGCCACATGGAGCGCCAGCACAAGTATACCGACGCCGTCTCAGAGGACGACGTGGATGTGGACATCGACGCAGACTACGAGCCGCCCAAGGTGCACGCACCCAAGCCCAAATACAAGTGCGAGCACTGTGATAAGGTCTATCACGGCAAGTACACGCTGCGGCAGCATGTGAAGCGGGACCATGACATCAGCCTGAGCGACGCCTTTGTTTGCCTGGAGTGCAATGCGCAGCTGCCACGGCTGCGTCTGCTGGACGAGCATGTGGTGAAGGTGCACGGCGGCGCGCCCTGTGTGATATGCAATCGGCGGTACAAGACGCGCCATGAGTTGAAGCGGCACCAGCTGAAGCATACAAATGAGCGCGATGTGCCATGCAGCTATCCGGGTTGCGAAAAGCGCTTCTTTACCACGCGCCACATGCGGAACCACAGCAAGGTGCATTCGGAGCAGAAGAACTTCGTGTGTGAGAGCTGCGGCTACAGCTGCCGCAACAAGGAGACGCTTCGTGTCCACTTGCGCAGTCACACAGGCGAGCGTCCCTTCGGCTGTAAGGTGTGCGACAAGCGGTTCCCCTCCCACTCGGGTCTGCGCGAGCACATGGCGATGCACTCGACGGAGCGGCCGCACGTGTGCAAGGTATGCGGCGCCACGTTCTCTCGCCAGAAGGGACTCTACCACCACAAGTTCCTGCACGCAGCTACGAAACAGTTCGTGTGTAAGCTCTGTGGCAATGAGTATGCTCAGGCAGCGGGTCTGGCGGGGCACATGCGAAAGCACCGCAACGACGAGCTCAATGGCTGAATAATCTGTAATCCATTATCTTCCATAATGTAGGATGTTTGCCCTATTTACTCGTTATGTTTTTACTTGTAAGCACTCAGGCATAATTTAGGCGAATTCTATGTGCATGTCTATGTGTATGTACAAAGTACATTGACATACATATGTATGTATATATATGTATATACATATTCTAAGCTATTAAAATTCTTATCTGATCGTTTTTATTCGCATTTCAAATTTAATAATCGAAATATTCTAATTGATCGTCGATCGAAGTGAGTTCGATTTTATTAACGAGCTGAAAAAAATTTGAAATTCACCAATCGAAAGAATGTTATCGATTGTCTAACAAAGTACTTTCGATTCTGTTAAGTGTGTTGTAACTGATAGTAGGAAAGAGAGAGGTTGTATGCCTTGTAATTTAAATTTAGCTCCTTTTGACAACAATTAATCGAGCTACAAATGCCAAATCGCGCGTTTAACATAATGTCAACGATTAAATTTAGCATGCACTGCGTGACAATGGCCGGTGAGGTTCTGGTAAGTGCAACATTTGATTGAAAATTTTTCCACATTTTAATTACGAAATTTTATCGAAGATAACGAGCAAAGCAAATGCAAAAAAGAAGCATGGCTTAAAATGTTCAAAGTTCGATCAATCCGAGGACTCTGATCCTGGTAACAATCTATTGCGTCATATGTGCGAGCAATGCGGATATAGAACTCGCATATCTGGAAATTTAAAGGTGCACAAGCGCCGTCATACTGGCGAGAAACCCTTCTGTTGTAACATATGCAATGCATCATTCGTGGCACGATACCAATTAACCACACACAATGAGCGTCATATGGACACAGATCAACGACGCAGTCGCTACATGTGCAGGGAGTGCAATGTAGGATTCCTTAGTGCACGCGCGCTTTATCACCATAGGCCGCTTCATGCTCAGGTGAAGCAGTATAAATGTAGCGTATGTGAGAAGTCCTACGCGCAGGCAGCAGGATATGCGCAGCACAAGCGCTGGCATCGCCAACGCAACGAGCGAGCAACGGCCACAACCAATCTGAAAGTATCTGACACAATCGAGACGATTTTAAATTAGCCCGCGTAGCCATTTATCAACACTATATCATTTCGATAGCATTGCTATTGTTATGGAAATCGTGCTATCGATGCATTGTTTTGGTAGTTGTGTGGGCGAGTATCAATTTGTTTATTTTTGTTTTCATGGCAAATGTTGAAATAAACAAATTCGCAGCATGTTAAAGCAGTGTCTAGTCAATGTGGACTTCTCGCGACTGCATGTTAATCCGCAGCTGCGCCCAAAATGTGGCGAAATATTTTACGAAAGCGAAAACGAATTCTGCAGTTTCCAGCTGGTTTGCTGTCTCTGCGAAATGAAACATTTTGCATTTGATGACTTCTCGATGCACATACGCAACGTACATTTCGACAAGCAGGGCAAACCGCGTACGCAGGTCAAGGCCGATAGAAATGACGCATGTCAACAGTTGCCCCCTTTAAATGTAACAGCTAATGCAGGCGACGATGAACGGAACGAGGGATCAGATGAGGATGACAACGACGGCGATACATTGCGAGTATGTTCGTTCGACGAGGTCAAGCTGGAAACTGTGCAATTGGAAAACAACAAAAATGGCCGGGCCGAGGACAGCTGCCATAGTGCAGACGAGCTGGATGCACCCACAGCAGGTGTCCCGAGCTTCACTGATGTCGATGATGATGAGGAGGCAACTGATAGCGAAGCGGAACCGCAATCTGTATTTAAGGTGAGTTGTACACGTTATATTGTGGATAATGTGATCAATGTGATTTGCAGAAACAACCCGATCCCAAGGAGTACCCATGCAAATACTGCAGGGGCAAATACACGACTCAGAAGTACCTAAATATGCATGTTAAGGTGAGGCATCCGCACCCGAACGGCTTCAAGTGCACCGATTGTGATGCCACTTTCGACGTGCAACGCGCCATGTTATCGCATCGTCGCAAGGAACACACCGAGTTTCCGTGCAACGTGTGCGGCAAGGTATACAAAAGCTCACGCACTCTTCTACGCCATGTGCAGGCCCACTCGGGTCTGCGACAATTCAAATGCGAGCATGAGAGTTGCGGCAAGTCATTTGTCAGCCAGCACAATTTGACGTCGCATCGTCGCGTCCACAGCACAGAGCGCAACTACGTGTGTGAGTTATGCGGCTACCGCTCGCGCTACCGCGATGCACTCATTGTGCATCGGCGCACGCACACGGGCGAGAAGCCGTTTAAGTGTCAGACTTGCGCGCGTTGTTTCGCATCGAAGTCGCTGCTCAACGAGCACCAGGCCATGCACTCCACGGAGCGGCCGTACAAGTGCGACCATTGTGAGGCTGCCTTCTCACGGCCCAAGGCTCTCTACCATCACAAACATCTGCATTTGGGTGTCAAGAAGTTCAAGTGCAAGATCTGTGGCAATGCTTACGCCCAGGCAGCGGGGCTGTCCGCCCATATGCGTGGCCACAAAGCGCAGGCCATCAATGGCATTGTCGATAGCGGCTCAGCTATAGCCTGCCCACCCCATCTTTGAGCATCCCCGCACTACTTGTACAGTCACTTTTCAATATTGCAAATGTGCACAAACTATACTTATACTAATTAGGCTATAATGTGTGTATTATTATAATTGGCATTGTATATCATAATGCAATGGTGGATAAAAGCACTTTGACAACGCATTGTAAAAGCGTATCGTTCTTTTTGCTGGACAAAAGTATTTTGATATGTCCTTTCATATTATTTTTTTCATGTTAAAGATATTTTCGTGACTTGTTTAATAATTACTACTGTTTGATCGTAGTTTTTGTTAAATTTTGGCAAATGACGTGAATTGATTGAATTCATTAAAAATTAAGAAAAATAATTCAGGTATTTCTGTGGAATACCTTAGCAGATTATAAAATGTATCTCTATAAAGAATTTACTACCTAAATTAACAAATTCCTAAATTAACAAAAAATAGAAAAATGATTTAAAAGAAAACTTATAAAAACCGCTATTGATGCTATGCGGATTTTGCCAAAAACAGTGTCAAGCAATCTTAAAAACAATCATATAATATCAACAGATAGAAAACTGTCAAGAGGCGTCTAAAGAAGGCTGTTTTTTCTATATTGTAGCTCGTTTTGTACCTTTAAATCCCTTTAAAGTAAACCAAAAACCTTACGATTCGATTATGTTTGCGTGTCCTTCAATGTCTTTACCGTATCGATATCCATTAATAGAACATTGAAGAATAACAAATATTTACGTGTCCTGGATGAATCTCATCGGATTCCGGTGATATGCTCATTGGTCAATCAGCAGGACAACGCTCCATGCCACAAGGGCCATATGATTGATTACTGAATGTATAATTATATTGGAGTCAATATATTACATTGGCCACCTCAAAGCCCCGATCTGAATATTATTGAGAATGTGTGAGCTTATATAAAAGGACAACGCAGATTAGACTTATCAAGAACGCGCGAGGAGACTGATTGATTCTTGGATGCTTACAAAAGGTCATTGATATTAAAGGATGGTTTCTTCTTATAGCCGGATCCCATTTAAAATGGCTGATTGTAGCTGATTGTGAATGAGTTGGCATTTTTTTAAAAAGAGTCAAATATTCATAGGAATATGTAGATAATATTCTTAGTTTCATTAAATTCTGTTGAGTATTTCAACATTTATCAAAGCAAACTAAACAATCACCAATGCACGTGCAACAAATGTTGAGCAACGAAAGAATTTTCCCTATGCGTGGGCACAAAAACATGGATAAATAGATAATTGAGCGAACTGTATTTTAAAAACAAGATATACAATTTGTACCAAATGCTGGAGACGACCGAACCAGAAAACAATTTTATTTATTTTTTTTAATGTTTCAAACAAGGGTGGACGGTTTTCTATGCTGATATACGTGGATTCTAACATATTCTACGAATCACAATTATTATAGAATTGTGTTTGCGTTCTCTTTGAATTGTATTTGTGCTATTCTCTTGAGACTATTAAAGAACTCTTTCAAAAAGGAAGAGTATCGTTCCTTCTCGCAGTATGCATAAATAGGCGGTTTAAGTTATTGCAATGCGTTGTCAAAATACTTTTTTCGCCATTATATAACAAAAATATGCTACAGAATCTTGTGTAGCATAGCACTTATATAGCTCTATTTTCCTATGATATGTTGGTTATTATATATGTAATACTATCATTAGAACCTTGTAACTCATAACATAGTTGCAATACGTTGAAAGCGCTCCTTAACTATAATACGTTGGCTATTATACATGTAATATTATTAGTTATTGTACATATATCATAATACTAGTTACTCCGAAAGGAAATATATTCACAAACATTTAAAGAACTATAATAAGTTGGTTATAATACTATATGTGTATAATTATCGCCAGCTATTGTGTGTCATAAAAAATAAAGCTAATGTCATATACATATATAAATGCAATATAAAAATAATTTTATCTACGTAGTTTTGATTTGTCTAGATTTTCATTAAACGGAGGTTTAAGGCACAAAAAAATTGAATTAACAGACATATTATCTTAATCGAAAATACTCTTCTTGTGTATCCTGCTCCTGAAAAGCATCAATCAGTATATAATGGTTTTGTAAACATGTATGTAACAGAAAGGATGCGTAGCGCTTTATAAAGTAATTATGTATGATTAGGATGCCGATCTCAGATGATTTACCCCTGTCCGTCTATTTTTGTCGCAGGCCAAGTTAAATTATTTTTATCGATAATCTGTTTTAAACTTTTTTTTTACGATTTAGCGAGAGAAGACGATCGCGGCTCGACTGTATGTGTGTATGTATGTATATATGATGTGATAAACAAGTTCTATAAATACCGCTAGAGCTGCTCTTAGTTTATGAATGAAACGCTTGAAGAATTTGGTTTTCGCTTCAACATTTATTTCGAACAGGAACTTAGAACTAGCGCATAATATGTTTACATAGATATACACGAGCTCCTTCTCTTTGGATTGGTTGCGTGCACTTCGCCTCCTTTGCATCATACTTAAAGTATATAGTATTTGGTGTAACACGCAGACAGAAAAAAAAAAGCTGAAAGCTGACAAACAACAGCAGGAGCATGCTCAACAGATTCAATTTACATATATATGCATATGCACATTCGTATAATACACACACATATATTTTTGCTGGTTTTATGGCTTAGGCCCACACTCGGATGGTGTAGTCCCAGCTGCCAGTGGACAGCGCTGTGCCGTCGGGTGAGACCTGCACACAGGAGACCTTGTTCTCGTGGCCGTACAGCAGGCAGACGCGTTCCGATTTGAGTGTGTCCCAGAGGTTGACGGTGTAGTCATTGTAGCCGGCAAAGAGGAGTCGCCCACTGACTGAAAAGTCCACTGAGTTGACGCCAAAGATAATGCTCTCCTTGGCAAAGACGGCTACTTCGCGGTCTGCGCGCATGTCGAACAGACGACAGCTGCTGTCGTCGGAGCCCGTAGCGATGGCGTCGCCGCATGGATGGAACTTGACACTGTTCACGTCCGACTGATGGCCCTCGAAGGACTGCACAACATGGCCAGACCGCATGTCCCAAATGAAGGCCATGCGATCACAGCTGCCAGAGACGAAGGTGTTGCCCGTCTCATTTGGCGCCAAGTCGATGGCCATCACGTCGCCGGAGTGGCCATGGAAACTTTGCAGTAGTTGGCCAGATTCGACGTCCCACAGAGCGCATGTGGAGTCGCCGCTGCCTGTGAGTATTTGTTGATCTGAATTGGGGTAGATGCAGCACGACATGTAACTGGTGTGCGTGCCGACAGTGCGCTTCTTGGCTGCCATTTCCTCATCGGAGGTAATCGGATATACGGTTACTTTATTGTCCAGGCCACCACAGGCCACATAGTTGCCGGATGGCGCATACGCACATGCCATTATCCAAGTGGTTGGCATTGTCACAGCGTGCTCTTTGTTTGTGGTAAACGCATCCCAGATTATTAGGCGCCCGTCCTGAGATGATGAGATAATGTGGCGCTTATCGGGACTCCAGTCGGTGCACAGCACTTTCGCCTGGTGACCTTTCAGCACCTTACGTGGCTTTATGTTTACGAAGGCTATCTGCTCCAGCCTTTCAGCAATGGTTGAGAGACTGACATCGTTCAGTTTTTGGCGCTCCTCTTCTAGTTTGGCTTTCAAATTTTCCGCCTCCTTCAGCAAGCTGGCCATCTTTTCATTGGCATTCACATTGCTGGCTGAAGCGGCGCACTCCGACATTTTTACAATAGATTCTTATGTTTATGCTCTGCCCGTGCCGTAGACTTCAATGGAAAAGCGGGGGCGAAAAATCAATATACTGATTGCAGTTAGAAAAAAAAGTGTATACACGAATACACAACGGGCGGCAGCTACCAGTGTGCAAAATTCGAAAATCGCAATTCATCAGCTGTAATACAACACTGACAGCGATTAAATAAACAATGGTTTTGAATTCAAACACTTGATTTAGTATCGATACTTCGGATAGGGCGGTTATTTGGAACTACTACTTTTCACTATTTTAACATAAAAAAAACTAATTTTATATTTTTTGGTTGCATATCTAACTACTCATTTATTCATTCTGCTTCTAATGAACATTTAATTTAAATATAGTTATGCACTTAAGTGTAAACATTAAAGAAACATCGATTGCCCGGTAATTTATATTAATCGAGCTCTTCATCGATTCACAGCTGTCCAGTGTTTGGTTCGACGGCGGCTTTGATTGGGAGCCTAATACGACGCCAAAGTTAAATGGGCCCAATTTTAGAGCATCGGTGCTGTAATCAGTGTTCCACAGGATGATTAAATTGCAACCAGATTTTGATCGTTCATATTTTAATTTTCGTTGCGGCGAGGTATTCTGCGTCAGCCCAACAAATTACGATGTTAGCTGTGCGCTCTGCGGCCAGCAAGTGCCATTTGAAGGATTTCCTCAACACTTTCAACTCAAGCATCTGACAGAGTCAGAAGTAGATACGGAGACGGAGACTGAAGAATGCAAGCTGTTCGCTACACATGCCGTGGAGCAGCATCTGGATGCGCCGGTGGAGGTGGATGCCGAGCCGTTGGCCATTAAATCCGAGGACGATCCCATTGCCAATGACGAGACGCACGCTTCCAATGACAATGTGAATGTGGACTTGGCCCAAATAGCACTGCTTGACCGGGAACACGAGACTGATAAAGATGCAGATGTCACTGCATCTCAAGAACAGAATGGCTCAATTGCAACCAGGCGCCAACGACGCGAAGCAACACTCAAGAATAGCGTAGTGCGACAGTCGGAGGATGACACGCCAATGGACAAACATTTGGATTGGATGGCGGGTGACGGCAACAACAGCGAAGGTCGTATTGAGCGCAATGAACACTCAGGCTCCGATCACAATGATGAGGAAGTGGACGACACCAGAGACATGCTCTTCCAGTGTGACCAATGTGATCGCGCCTACAACACTAAACGCAGCCTGCAGAGCCACAAACGCAGCAAGCACAACTTCCGCAAGCCGCCAAAGCCGCACAGGGTAGCTGCAGGCGATGCCATGACGACAGCCACAGCTGGAAGCGTTCGCAAGAAACCGCGCAAGGATCCCTCCAAGATCTACAAGTGCGACGAGCCTGAGTGCAATCAGACCTTCCGCACTGAGCGCGACTTGCGTGGCCATCGCTGGAAGCACACGGGCATCTTCTGCGACATATGTGGCAAGCCCTTCACGCAGTCTGGCAACATGATGCGCCATCGCCAAAGGCACAGCGGAATCAAGCCGTACAAGTGCCAGCAGCCAGATTGCGAGGCCACCTTCTACACGCAAAAGGAACTGACGTCGCACAATATATGCCATACCGGTCGCATGCCATGCATATGCGAGGTATGCGGTCGTCCCTGCCGCGATCGTGGCGTACTCACTGCCCACATGCGGCGCCACACGGGCGAACGGCCTGCCAAGTGCGAAGTGTGTGGCAAGGCGTTCTACAGCTTCCACGATCTCAACGTGCACGCCGTCTCGCATACGAATCTGCGGCCCTTCGTCTGTGATGTGTGCGGCTCCACGTTCCAGCGCAAGAAAGCGCTACGCCTCCACAAGCTCCTGCACTCCGAGAAGCGCAAATATTCGTGCAAGCTGTGCAACAAAATGTTTGCCCAGTCTGGCGGCCTCAATGCCCACATGCGCACTCACGAGTCGGCACGGGCCAGAGCCAAAGCTAAGGCCAAGACATCTCAAGTCGATGTCGAGGTTGAGGTGGAGGAAGCCGACAACACCGACCAACTGCTGGAGGAGGCTGTCACCATAGAGTTGCTCCAGAGCCAGCACACATCCCATGTAGAGGTTGTTACCGTCGCAGCTGCGGGCAGCTGGCATGTGCCATAATCATGAGAATCTGTATCTATATAGTCTAATGTATGTGGCTGCCATTAGGCCCCAATGTAATATGTAAATATTGAATTAAAAAAAAATATATATATCAAAATGTAACTCAAATTGTTTTCAATTCAAATACGCTTGCAGTCTCCAACGATCAGGCACAGCCTCTCTCTGGCTTACATCACATAAGATAATAAATAAATCGGTAAGTTATCGGTACAAAAGGGTCCTTTATTATTATTTGTTGTTGCTGTTCTTGTGGCGTTGTTCTCGCTAATTTATTACTGCACAACTATGAATATGCTTATCTAACATATGTACATATACATATGTATATATTGCCCGCTTGCTTCAATACAATTCAAAATATGTATGTATGTATATTAATATTAATATTTGTAGTTTATATGTATGTATGCATGCTGCTGCCATCAATATATGTATATGTATGTGTGTATATTGCTCTTAAGCTTAACAAAAAATCACCTAAGAATAATTGTTTAACATAATGGACGTATTTTTGTGTGTTTCGAATTGGTAAAATCAACCAATGCCAATGGAAGTGTTTTAAAAACAAAGTTCCAAAATTATAAACAAGTTGAAATATATAAATAAAAAAAAAACATTAAATTAAGTACAAATGTGAAACAAAGTAATCACAATATAAAACTTATTAGAATAAAGGCGAAATGAGAATGGATTAGCATGACTGGAAACTGTTAACCGGCCAATAACATGCGCGAGCTGTCACTGGAATCTTATTGGAATCTGATAACAAACAAAATCACAACATGGAATGAGTCTAATCCGATTTACGTCGTCAAATCTTTTGTTTTCTCTTTGCATTATTAAACAATAAAATGCGTGTAAACGTATACAAAAGTTTGGCCTATTCGAATTGCTATCATACTACATGTATGCTATATGACTTACTATATATATATATATGTATATATCTGATAAAGTCACTTTTAAACTATGGTATCAAAATTGCTTCGCTGTGATGTTTTTTCTCCGTTTTGACTAATAATCGTAGATCGTATAAGGTCTATATAAAATATACATATTTCAGCGCCTATCGTTCGTATGTATATATAAGCATCTAGTGTATATTGAGCACATGAGCTAGTAGTTAGTCCTGGGCAATTCAATTCACACAATGTTAATCTCAATCTTGATCAGGAGCCGATTGTCGGCACAGAAGCCCAGTTGCATGATATTGGATATGTTGGCGTACTCGAGAAATCCGAAGCCGCGTGTGCTGATAGCCTCGCGCGGCTGGTGGAAGGCGAGTATCTCTGGCTTCGTCATGATGGTGTCGTGCTGTGACAGACTCGCGTCGCCCGGGTGCACCATACAGAGCTTGATGCGACCCTTGAATGGCCAGTCCAAGTGGAAGTCGTTGTCCGACTGCATCAGATGCACGTGCAGACTGAGCACGTGCGGCTTCCGCGGCTGTATGTTGAGACGGGCACAGAACTTGTAGCCGTACGGTGACGTATAGCACTCGTGCGAGTACACCTGGTTATTCGCATTGGCGCGCAGGCGCTCTATCAAGGAGCTCAGCTGCTCGATCTGCCAGACGATGGTGCCGTTGCTGTAGCGGGCGTCGATTGGCTGCTGGCGTCGCAGCTGCTTGTTGAGATTCTCGATGCGTGTCTCCTGCTCGCGTGTGCGCTGCTCCAGCACGACGATGCGCTGGTACATGGTCTGGACGATCTGCTCGTCGACTCCGTTCGCATATTGCGGCGGCGGGGGCAGCTGTCCCGCCTTGTGGCCGTTCTCCAGCGCGGAGCTGGAGCTGGGCTTGTGTGGCTGCCAAGTCTCAATGGCTGTTTGTTGGAATGCCTGTAGCATGAGTTGCATGTGGTGCGGCATGTCCGTTTTGAGGTGCTCCTCCAACTGGTTCGTCTCAGGACGACCCACAAAACCGCATTTGATGCTGGCGAAGGGACACTTCTCTTCGAGCTGCTGCTGCTGCTGCCTGCGATACGGGCAGGTGGGTAAGTGCCGATGCAGCTCGATGGGCGAGGCTACCACGACACAACCATGCGGCGAATTGGGGCATTTGTGCTTGATTTGCTCAATCTCGCGACGCGTATAATTGTCGGGAAAAATATCCTGCTCGGCGGACAACTGCTTGTTGTCGAGTGGGCAGCACTGGTTGTGGTTCTGCAGCCAATCACTGAGGCAGCTCTTACAGAAGCGATGGCCGCATGACGTCAGCACCGGCTCGTTTAGCCAGTCTATGCAAATGGCGCACTCATACCGCGAGTCCGGGTAGTCCGTGTCCCCATCGTGCTCCCCTGATGTGTCCGAAGCTGCATAGTTTTGGTTTAGTGCCAAGGTACGAGGCGGCGTCACTCCTGTGGCGCCAACAGCTGCACTCGTTGTTGCAGCCGTTGTGGGCGTGGCATTGCTGCAGCCAGCAATGTGCGTCCCATTGCTGTTAATATTACTGTTATGCTGTTGTTGTTGCTGCTGCTGCTGCTGTTGGTGATGATGATGGTGATGATGCTGTTGCTGTATGTCTTCCGTGTGCTGTTGCTGCTGATGCAGCTTCAATTGCTTTTGCTCCTGTTGAGTTCGCTGCATTGCATTAGTGCGTAACAGCATGCGCCACTCAGTCTATGCTAGCCCTGAATTCTTTTTTTTAACTCGATCCACCTGACCACACACAAAAATATTGATGCTATTTGTTGGCCAGTGCTGCAAAATACTAAATCCTCTTAACAGCTGAGAGACAAGCTGTTCCCAGTAGATTGTTTTTTTTTTTTTTTTTGCGCTGGAGAGCAGTTTAAATTAAGTCACATCACTAACAGTACAATAGTGGCTACATTTTTGTATTCACAGTGGTTATATGAACAAATGCATGCTAAATAATAATATAATAATACACATTTACATATTTATTCACATAAAATAAATACTCAAAATAGCATTACGACTACTGCCAGAGAGCTTTTGCACAAGTTGTGCAACACTGACAGCCGAACATATGTTCCACTGCACAGCACTGCTTTGGGCGAAAGATAAGCGATTCACCTGCACAGACCCTTAATACGCACGTACACGGCGAAATTGCCAATAGCCAGTCGCCAGTCGAGCTGCAACCTGCGAGCCCATAAAACGCCAGCTTTTAGTAGTCGGAGCGACATTTGAGTGTGAGAAGCGTGCTGCAAACGCAACGCGAAGCCTTAAAAGAGAATACGTTACAACATTGAATGAAAACACGATTTTGACAGACTGACAGATTGATAGATTCACAGATTGACAGAATGGCAACCGCAATCGCATTGAAGTGCAATTATATTTATTTGCTATGCTTAATTGTGTTCGCCTGGCAGATGTGCGCTGCCAAACAGCTGCCATTGCCCGCCAATGTCGCTGCCGCTGCCTCTGCGAGTGCAGCGACAACACCAGCAACAACAAAACCAGCGTCAACACCAATACACACAGAGAGCCCCAGTAGTGGCAATAGCGGTCATCAGCAACTACGTCACGAATCGTACGATAAAGATGACGACACAATTGCAGACGCACTGCCCCCTGCGTCCGCGCGCCGACGTCGCCAGGTGTCTGATTGGTTCATAGCGCCCAACACACGCTGGTGTGGGCGTGGCAATTTGGCAAATGGAACGTACAATCACTTGGGCGGCGCATCGATGGCTGACAAGTGCTGTCGGAAGCACGATCACTGCAAGATGTACATACCGGCCATGTCCAATCGGTACGATCTGTTCAACTATCGCCCGTACACGCTGTCTCACTGCAGCTGCGATCGGCGCTTCCGCACTTGCCTGAAAATGGCCAACGACGAGGACGCCAATACCATTGGCAAGCTCTTCTTCAACATGGTGCAGACGCAGTGTTTCGTCCTCAAAACGGAAACCCTCTGTCAGCAGCGGGGCACAGGCAGCGAGTCGGATAAATGCTTGAAGGAAACAGTGCGCCATAAGGCCTACCTCAGAGATAACAAAAAGTTTTAGGCGCAGGTTAGTTTGCAAATATTGATAGCAGACGGATCATATTACATCAATGTCTTCTTCATTTACTTATATAGCTGGGAATGCATCCGAAACTAAAGCCGGTTGAATTGAGCCTGCCAAGTGCGTCAGCAAACAATTAACATAAAAAGCAAAATTGGCATTTGACATTAGGTTTGAAACCTAATGGCAAACTAATCTCAAAGCTCAGATGAACAACAAAACAACTTGAGCAATTGCTACACTTAAAACTCGTACTTACGAAAGACATACATTATTACTAAACTATACTCTACATTAAGCTTTCTACTCTATATATATATGTATACATATATATGTCAACTACTTAACTTAACTTTCGTAGTTTTAGCTTAAGCATACAAACATACATAGGCTGCCTGTAAAACAAAGTTTTAAATAGTTTATAGCTAAAGTAGTTGGTCTAGCCAGTAGTACGCATGACTATACATATATGCGTAGTTTATAAATACTGAAAATGATAACTAAATTGTTCACCTAATGACACTAATTTATTATTAAGTGTTGAGGCAGACGACTCGGTTTTGCCTTGATTTGAATTATGCTTTACGTTATGAAGACTTTAGTCTATTGTAATTAGCGTTTAGTTCGGAAATACGAAAGCAACAATAAAAATGAAAGTGATTAAATAAAATGCTACGAAATATGTCGTATTAATCAAAAATGAATGCTTTGGAATTTTGTACTTTACACTCGGGACAAATGTTATCAGGTCTCGAAGGTACTACGTATGTACATTACACACTCACTGTGTGCATGTGTGTGTGTGCGCGCCTGTATGCAATTGGCGGAGGATGGTTTATTAATTGATGGGTCTTGTCTCAGTTTTCAGTCTCATTGACGTAGTTGTTGCTGATGACCCTTTGACAGTAACCCCTGTTGATCACACACAACGCATTTCTCCGTTATTCTCGTCATTTTCTATACAAATTTTGCTTATATGTTATTGTCTAGGCGAAGATGCGTCATGATGGATCCGGGATTTTTAGCACTTTGGGCAAAACATCCTCGCACGTCATAGCGACGATGCGTTACTGCCTATCGGCATATCGATAACAATGCAATCGTATCCTGTCAAACAGCCCGTTACAGACTCGAATTCGAGTTCAGGTGCAGCCGCTTCGAGCTATTTATCATTGGCCGTTGCAGGTGTGCGACTGTGTGAAGGGGGTGTGTCTGTTGTTGTTCCACTTTCCAGATACTTCCTGATATTACAGCGCCGTGTACACTGTGCTTGCGTCTATTTTGTAAACAAACGTTTTGCTGATAACCGACAGTTGTAATCCGAGAGGCTGGTGACGTGTGATGCTTGTTATTCCTATTTATAAATATCGCTGCGTTGTCTAAAGGTCAACAAAGTAATGAGTCCTACTATAGAACACATTACACAACTCAATATTACACACACACATATATATATATTTATATACAAGCGTTGATTTTCGGATGTGAAGTATGAACAAAGCAGCCTTTCGATTGACAGCTCATATTTAGATAGATATATGTACATACATGTATGAATAAATAAGTCATAAAGAAATACAATTAGAACAGAGCTATTTATCAAACCAAAATTGCATTTGTGTGAAAAATTATGGATCAACGCAATGAAGTGCGCAGCCTCGCTGATATCATTGATAGCCAGAGCCTCTCCGGGAAAACTCTCATCTGCACTGACAGCGACAGCGATAGCATTGAAGAGGACGACGATTCGTCAACTGAACTAGATATAGGGTATTATCTAACAAGCAAAAATCTATTCATCTAACTATTGATCCCTCATGCAGGCTTGCCGCAAGCAACTTAACACTGAGCGCCGACAATCAGCTAACGTACACGCGTCAGTACTACGGTATGCAAAGCATCGCCACGCTGAGAGTTTTGGATGTCCTCATCAATGTCTTGGAGTACCAGGCCTGTGCCAGTGATGCGAAGCTCTTGATGTTTGCAGCGGCCGCCCACAGCGATGGATATCGCAGCAACTTGGTGCCTGTGCCATCTATTTTTATGGGCGACGTGTTCTACGATATCGACGAATTGCGTCGCATCGTCTCTTCCTGGCCCAGCTCTCACCGTCTGCTGAAAAGCCTGAGTTGCAACTATCGAATCAATCATTTGGCCGATACAGACATCAGCCACATTCATCTGCTCCATTGGATTCTTGTCTGGCAGGCGTATCCGAGTCTACGGCGCGTGGACGGCGGTGAATTGCGTTGGCTGTGCAAGAAAATGAATCTAAAGCGCCCACTGCTCAATCCTGGCTACATTCTGCAAGTAAGTTACAAGGACGATCCGCGCTGCTATTGGAAATCGGCCAGTCCTCATGCCTACTTTGGGTGTCCGCTGCACTTTCTTTACCGATTGCTAATAATGCGCGACACGCCCAGTCCGATGCATCTGTACGAGTTGCCAGAGTTGGCAGCCGCTCAATGCTCCGACACAAATTGCAGTGGCTGGATGCATTCGCGCTTCGGTCGCGCTCCACGCTGTCTGGTCATCTGCCAGCTAGTGGATCATTATGAAATACGATTACAGGAGCACGGCCAGCCGGAGTTTGTAGTCCACGATCCATCCTGCGTGCGCGTGCGCTATTTACTATTCTATTCCGGTGTCAAAAAACGTATTGAACTGCCGCTCAACTTTGCCAGCCGCCTGGACTATAACAACAGCCATATGGACAACAAGGCAAAGACAAAGAGATCTGGCAATAACCGCACGCTTTTTCGAATAGCCCGTTGGCTGAAGAAACACGCCCTAAAATTAATTCATCGTCAGTCCCCAGTTTCATAATAATCCAAACTTAATTACCATACCACAGTCAACCTTGGGTTTTGGTTTAAATTAAAATTTAAAATGATAACGTGATTTTCAATGGTGTTGCCAAACGATTCGAATGATCGAGAAAGTGGTAAAGTATACAGGTGCAGCTACTGTTTACTGTGTTGGCAAACGTTGCGAACTATCGAGTATAAAATTGCGAATTGCAATTTACTCTGATCAGGCAGCGTCTGCAATCGATGATAGTAATCGATAAGGGGATTTAGTGGTAGCGATGCTTTCCGTTGGAATTACAAATTTTATTTTAAACATCAAAATTAACATGTGATGGATTGATTTTTAGCGAAACTAGATGGTTCTGCCGGCCATCTGGACGTTCTCCGTGGTGTAGTCGAGTACACTACGATAACGTCGGCGATAATACTGGCATTGGCGCAAATAGACGCTGATCAACCCTTTAACAGCCTCAAAGGTGAAGGCTCCCAACACTATGCTTAACAATTTGCTGTTCACATTGCCATAGAGAGTCTGCCCAATGAGTACTGAAAAGGTGGGCAGACTAAGGGCCGTGCAGACACGGCATGTGGCTCGCTCAATATTCTCGGAATTCATGGTACCGGCCTGCATCATTTCATCCTCATCGACCGGCTCCAGACTATCGAAATATTCATCGGTTAGCGGAGCGCCAGGCAGTAGATCCCCCTGCTCATCATAATGCTCCGATGCCACAGATTGACGGTGTTGACGGCGCAGCCAGCGCACCATCCAGTTATCCCAGTCAAAGCGGCGCAGCAGCAACAAGGCACATGGCACCGATGGCAAAACGATCAACAAAAAAGTGGGATCCTCTTTCATCAGCTGAATGCTCGTATCGTAGCCAGCTATTTGGTGAAGTGTAAGCGCTCCGTAGGAGAGCGTTGCCATATACACAACAGTGGCC